TGAATTTTTTTTTATTCTGTAGAGATTAGGGCTGTCTCTTCTGTTTAACTGTTATTTATATTCATGCACAAATTAGGAAAAAATTATTATATTTATGAGCTTAAATTCCAAAATATTATATAAATAATACCTTTTGGCGTTATCACTCTTTTATTTCAGTAATCTTTGATTCCAGATACACGCTAAAAAATATGGTTTACCCGTAAAGTCCCGAATATAAGCAACCCCTAAGCCACCCATTTTAGACAAATTTTTTCAGAGGGTTACTTAAATTCGGGACTTTAAAATATTCAATTTATTGGTCAATATATCTTATATACATAACCAATAAAGTTTATAATAAATTTTATATATGTTTAGCAGGAGTTGCTTATTTTATTTTCTTAGTATTTTGATCTCAAAATGTGGGGGTTGCTTATTTTTGGGGTTGCTTATATTCGGGACTTTACAGTAATTCTTATTTACAGTATTTATAAATGGCATTTTCAAGTTAAAATTCCATAAATTCAATTAATTAATTTAAATTTACATTTTAACTAATTTTTTATAATCTTCTTTAAATTCAAAATTTGTAAGTTTTATTGATATGTTGTTGATTGTTTTAAACTAAAAAATACAGTATTTCTGACACATTATTAATTATCAAAAATTTTTTTACTTCTAATCTCAGACTCAAACATGCGTAAAAACTTTTCAAAAGTGTTAACATATAATAAAGTCAATGTTTCTTCTCGAGCATTTTCATACATAGACAATTCAAATTGGTCACTAGCAATCATATTTTTAACAGTGTTTACTATACTTCCAGAAAAATTAATTGCCAAATCTGAATTCAGATCCAGATAAGAATCATAAAACATTCTATAATCAGTCCTAAGCTTGTAAGGAAATGGAATCCAAAAGGCTGCAGAAACTGTTTCAACAATTGATTTTGTACATGGAGTGGAAATGTAAGATTCTGGTGATAACGGTGGTAAAATCGAACTTTCTTTTATAAATAGATTTTCTTCATCGTCTGACATGCGAAGTTTGGAAGTAGGGGGAGGTAAAAAACTTTTTTTCGTTGGAGTGCAACATTTGGCCACCAATATTTTCAAGTATTGATATTCTTCTAAAAAGAGAATTAACTTTGTACAGAAACATGCTACAGCACAAGCTATAAAAAAAGAAACTAGTTCTATTGATATTGTTTGTTAATAAAGATTAATAAAGATATATAATAAAGATTTTATTATCTTTATAAAGTTTAAACAAATCAGGATGGGCCAAAATCTCTTCAAATTGTTCATATCTCTTTGAATGCGAAATCCTTTTATCATGAAATGAAATATCAAAAGAATATTTATATGATTTCCAAACAGGTATTATAATTGATAAGGTGTGACTCAATATAAGAGTAACCCACAGAAATATAAAACTTCCAAAATAAAGTCTAAGACCAGATGCAGAATATTCTCAGATAAAAAACATAATGAAAGAAAAAGAACCAACAATTAAAGTGACTATCAACTCATTTCTAAGACCATAAGCATCTCTTATATTATATAAAAGATAAATAAAGATAGGCAAATGATAAAGAGAAAAAGAGAGAGAATAATGAAAATGGGAATATGTCTAATAACATATTGATATAAGAAAAATATGAGTATTTTATATAAAGATAAGAGAATTATTTAATTAAATAAATACATACTCAGAGCCTATTTGATATTCCGTACGCATTGGAATGAGTCTAAGATCCGGTGAAGTTATTTGAAATATGAAAGCTAGTAAGAATGCAATTGCTATAGTTGGATACAAAATTCATGTGTCATCCATATATCAGTTGCATTTTTCTTCCATTTTTTTAATTGACGCATTAACTTGTCATGAACAGAAGTCATTTGAGATATAGTACTTGATTCCGGCATTAAATTTATCCTCAATTTAGCCATATGATATCTAGCCACCCAAATGAATACAATAGCTCTGCAAGTTATCGAGGCACAAACCAAAAAAAAACCAATATATAAAGGCCAATGTATTAGAAAACAAGGATATTCCATTGGGTAAAATCCTGATCAAAAACAAAACATCATGCACAGCATGATTATAGCTATTGAATTAAAAATTGTCAACCTTAATGGTCGATAGCGAATATCTGCAATTCTTTGTCACCTTTTGTAAAATAATATTATTGTTGCAGTGAGATAAATAAATGACAATATTCCAAGAGTCGAATATAATCCTTTTCTCAAAGGCGATCTACCTGCAGAATCTTGTTGAGAATAATTAGGTATCATATACGTATTTATATTTATTATCATTTATATATATATAAGTCAGATAAATTTCAAAGGCGTTATTAATATTTCGCGTGCTAAGAAAATGAGTGGCTAAATATGACCTGAAACTTTGTGGTGGATTTAAAATCAACTGAAAAAGCAGATTTAGAAAACGTAATAGATTTTTATA